CACTCCTTGCTTGGTTGTGTGACCATTGGCGGTAAGATTCTAACCCTTGAACCTCATGATTCCTAGAAATTTGCATGAGTTAGGGTTTATGAATAGTAAATTGGGATTTTGATGAAACGTAGTTGAATTAGCTATGTTCTAGGAAGAATGGAGCTTAGAGCATGTTATGGAAAATGCTAGGAATGTCATTTAATCGGTGAAAATGAGCTTAGATAGCTAAATGAGTATACTTGTAAAATGGCAAGAATATGATGCTTGATATTGGATTTCTTGCATTGTTGATAAATGGTATGGCTTGGTTGAGTGATGATTGTGTCCTAATGATGTCTAAGATTGAGACATTTGGACCGACCGTGAGTGATCAACCGCTTGAACAAGCTATGGAGCTTGAGTAGCTCATTGGAATTGGTAAGCTCACACTTGTGTGGTGTTTTGAATTGAGTATTTGATGGTTGATTGTGAAATACTCTTGGATGCAATGTGTTGATTGCATTACACCATGTGTAGGTGTTGGTTTTGGAGTAGAGTATTGTTGACATTGGTGAAGAACAAAGGTCGACTGAAGCATTGAGGTAAGCCTTCGGACCTTGGGTGTAATTCCCTTGACTGTTCTACCAAGCCCTGAAAGGGTAGAGGTTGTGATTGTGTATATAAATGCAATAAAATAGTGTAATGCTTTGTTATACGTATGTGTATGCATTTGGTGTGGCATAGGATGGTGTTTCCCTATGTTGGTATGTGGCATGACGATGCGTAAATCATACTTGGTAGTTAGCTGGCCAGTAGGACTATTTGCATCTGAGTTTCCTTAGGACAGCTTGAGAGCTCGAGGGATTTCTCCTGGAGATGTTAGTGCACTTTGCATAGATATGTATTTACTGCATTATTATTGTTATTGCTATTACACTAATATGGAACTGTGGGGTGGAGAGATGCTCCAAGGACCCCTGGTTTACTGGATATATTCGTATATCTCACCCCGTGTTGTGGGGACCCCCTTTCAGGTAAGGATGCTGCAGGAGCCTCTGGTGGCAAGTGGCCATATCTGGATTATGCATGAAATGTGGCATTCCTTTTGAGTTTATGCATGCTTTTTGTAGTTGACATGTATAGGATTTTATTTTGAAAGCCCATGGTCATTTGTATATCTTGATTCATTGGATGAACTTAGCCTATGCTCATGCCTTTGGTTACACCTTTTGTTGATGGGAGCCAAGGGAATGATCATAGTGTTTTGTAAGTTAAGTTCTACGATTTGTAAAGGATATTTAATGTAAACGATGTCTACTTGAAATTCAATATATGCATGCTTGTTATGTATTAAGTTGTTGAATTGGTTGGGCTGAAAATCGATTAGGTACCCTTTGTTTAAATTGGTAAACGATGAGAAAACAAAGGTAATGCTGCCCAAATTCTAGCTAAACCTCATGAGGAGAGGTTGGATGAGTGCTAGGATTTAGTTTGGGGCATGGATAATTGGGGTTTGTAATGGGGATGCATCTTCCCCTAGGCTTGGACTTGAAAAATGTGGGAATTAGAATTCCCTGGCAGCGCGCTTAAGCGCCCAGGAGCGCGCCAGGGAATTCCATATTCCCACATTTTTCAAGTCCAAGTCTAGGGGAAGATGCATCTCCATTCCAAACCCCAATTGTCCATGCCCCAAAACTAAATCCTAGCACTCATCCAACCTCTCCTCATGAGATTTAGCTAGAATTTGGGCAGCATAACCTTTGTTTTCTCAACGTTTCCCAATTTAAACAAAAGGTACCTAATTGATTCTCAGCCCAACCAATTTAATAACTCAATACATAACAAGCATGCATATATTAAATTTCAAGTAGGCATCATTTACAGTACATATCCATTACAAATCATGGAACTTAGCTTACAAAACACTATGATCATTCCCTTGGCTCCCATCAACAAAAGAGATGACCAAAGGCATGAGCATAGGCTAAGTCCATTCCAATATACAAATTATAAATCTAGCATTGCCTATTAATTACAATTCTATACATGTGAGCTACAAAACAACATGTATAATCTCAAAAGAAATGCCACATTTCATGCATATGCTAATCCAGATATGGCCACTTGCCACCAGAGGCTCCTGCAGCATCCTTACCTGAAAGGGGGTCCCCACAACACGGGGTGAGATATACGAATATATCCAGTAAACCAGGGGTCCTTGGAGCATCTCTCCACCCCACAGTTCCATATCAGTGTAATAGCGATAACAATAATAATGCAGTAAATACATATCTATGCAAAGTGCAATACATCTCCAGGAGAAATCCCTCGAGCTCTCGAGCTGTCCTAAGGAAACTCAGATGCAAATAGTCCTACTGGCCAGCTAACTACCAAGTATGATTTACGCATCGTCATGCAACATACCACATAGGGAAACACCATCCTATGCCACACCAAATGCATACACATACGTATAACAAAGCATTACACTATTTCATTGCATTTATATACACTATAATTACCACTACCCTTTCAGGGCTTGGTGGAACAATCAAGGGAATTGCACCCAAGGTCCGAAGGCTTACCTCAAAGCTTCCGTTCAACCTTTGTTCACCACCAACGGTTCAGCAACCAATCAACTTTGGTTTCAACAATGACTTACAAGTAACACACCTACACCAAGGTGCCATAGCATCAATCATACTATACAATGAATATTCATATATACTCATTAATACCACAACAACTCTACATCCCAACTTAGCAAGAGCTTACCTATTCCAAGGAGCTAGTCAAGCTCCATAGTTTGCTCCAATGGTTGATCACTCACGGTTGGTCCAAATGTCTCAATCCTAGACATCACAAGGATCCAATCATCAATCAACCAAGCCAACCCATTGATCATAATTGCAAGAAAACTCTTCAACAAGCATGATAATCTTGCAATATATCAAGTATAGTCATTTAACTAACTAGGCCCATTTTTACCGATTAAATGACATTCCTAGCATTTTCCATAACATGCTCTAAGCTCCATTCTTCCTAGAACATAGCTAATTTAACAACATTTCATCAAAAACCCTAATTTACTATTCATTGAACCCTAACTCGTGCAATTTTCCATGAAAATAAGGTTCAAGGGGTAGAATCTTACCACCAATGGTCACACAATCAAGGATTGATGGCTCCTCAAGCTTCAATGGAGGTTGAAGCACTCAAAACCCCAAATTTCTCCAAAGGGCCGAATTTTTGAGAGGAAATATCTCACCACACAAAGCTCCCCACTAAGAACTAAGCTTGGATTATGAAAGAGGGGAAGATTCTAAGCGATTTAGGCTTTTGAATCACCCAAAACCGTCAAGGTTTCCTCCCTCCTCTCTCTCTCTTCTTCTCTCTCCCTTTCTTCTCCTTCTCCTTCTTCTTCTTTTCTTCTCTGGTTGCTCGACGGGGGATGGGGGGAAAAATGGGTTCTTTTTGGCTTTTAGCCACTTAACATAGGTTAAGTGACTTTAGGCGGGTATTGGTTCGTCTATCTATTCAACTCCATTAATTACCAAACTTTACCCAAAAGTCTAGAATATTATTCTATGAATATTTATATTTTTATTCTTATATTTTGGGTACTTTCGCCAGTACCCATTTATACCCCTTAATTTTCACTGAGTACACTTTCTAACTCCAAAGTGACTCAGATTCATTTAATTAAGCATTATACTTAATTTTACTCACTAAAACATGTTTAATTATTTAATTACATGTAATTTGCTAATTAATTAGGTTAGGGCTATTATAACAACTGCTCAATGTCCTAGATATGTCACATATGTGACTTGAACGATTAACTTAAAAAAGGTCTTCTAGAGCAAAGTATTTTTTCTAATTAGAACAAAAAAAAAGTATTTATTTAGGGTATAGTATTTTTTTAATTGAATTTCAGATGTTCTCTTAGTATTTATACAGCACATATATCAAGCCTATTAAAAAGGACTCGATTGTTTAGGCATGTCTACTAAATGCTTGTTTGATTTACCTGGAACAGTGATCATTTTGTCATGTTTGGACAAAAAAATTATCAGACTGCCACGCCAACAGTAAATTTTGCCAAAATGTCACGCGGCATAATTCGCTACACAGTGTAGCGAATTATGCATGCAAGTAATTCGCTACACAGTGTAGCGAAATATGCCACGTCAGAACAAAAAATGCCACATGTCAAATTTTGAGAAATTCGCTACACTATGTAGCGAATTTCTCAAAATTTGACATGTGGCAACGTGGCATATTTCGCTACACTGTATAGCGAATTACTTGCATGCATAATTCGCTGCACTGTGTAGCGAATTATGCCGCGTGGCATTTTGACAAAATTTACTGTTGGCGTGACAGTCTGGTAATTTTTTTGTCCAAGCGTGGCACTTTGGTCACTGTCCCGATTTACCTTTTATCCGTTGAGAAAGAATTGGGATAAATTTTTTATCTTTTATAGCTTTTGCTTATATTATAGTTTTAAAATTTTAAACAAAAAGCCAAAAACACTACAAGTACTTTGACTGTGTCCAAAATTGAGTAAATAAACATCTTAATCCTAAAACACGCTTTTCAGACCTTTACAAATTATTAATATAAATTTAGTTCTTCAATCATTAAAAATGTTATTTTTTTTTAATAAATTAACATCAATTTACTCTCTCAATTAAAAAAAATTGTTATTACTATAGTCCTTTTTTACTATCGATTTAATTTCTTAATTATAAAAAATGACATTAGTTTGATTCTTTAATCTCAAGTCTCACAATCTGAATAAAAGAACAATTCTGATGTCGCTTATCATGACTAAAGATCTAAATACCAAACTTCTTTAAAAAATTAAAGTAACAGCACTTGTATCTTTAAATTACTAAAATAAAAAATTCACATTAGTTGTTTTGATCTTGACATTTCAGTTATGCTTTTGGCCCAACTAAAACATCTGTTTTTTGAAAAAATAAAAAATAAAAAGCATTTAAAATTTTAAAAATAAAAAAGCCCAAAACTGATATTCTATGTTACAGAACTTACAGTTGCCCAAGATGTATGTAGCAAGAAACTCATAATTTGAGTGAGGAGAAATGTTGGCTATTGTGTATTGGGCTCTTTAACAGCAAGCGGTTCATACCAGTCGGGACCAAATCCAGCGGCTTTTCTGGCTGCCTCATTAAAAGGTGGTTTTAAAGGTCCTCTGAAATATGTCCTCACTATTGCATGAAACTTTGGAATCACTTCATTCTCCTCTCTATTAATTCTACTTCCCACTGCACAAATCTCTTGCTCTTCTTGTCTAGACCTCTCGCATAGATACTTAAACCACTTTACTCCAGCAGCACAATGTGTAATTTCTTCTGGGTAAACTACACTTTCTAGTAAATCTGCTGTAGTGTTATCCCCACCATTGCGGAAACGTAAGATTGTTGTTGGCAGCACATCAAGTCCTCTGGCCTGTGTTTATACTCAATCAGATGGTACATTTTAGATACAATAAAAATTTTATGTGATGTAGAATCATGAGAGAGAGTGATCCATTATAAGAAAATTTTGGAGTTAGCATAGCATCAAGCCAAATAAATCCTAAGCCAATTGTCAAAAATGCTAAATCAAATGGAAATATATTTACAGAAAAAAAGGAAAACCATAATATTCTAATTAATAGTTTAATATAAACAATACAATGAACATGGAGTTTAATTTTGATATAATGTCAGTGTAAAACTTTTTTATGCTATCATCCAATGTTATGTTGATTCCTAAATTAATAAGTTGACTATGTTAACAATTACATAATATGTCAAATTCATTAAATGATGTGATAACATTATTGGATGATGGCGTAAAACTTTTTTACATTGATCGCGCATCAAATTATATTCATAGACACTTGCTCTATTTTTTGGGATAAAAATTTAGAGGGGGGTAAGTTGCCTCATTCCAAGGTTAGGATATGCTACAAGCCTCAGTTAAGGCTTACAGTGATACTTATAGATGACCTACCAATTAAAGTCCAATCCACCAACAAGAATCAAATCCAAGACCTTTTTGTCAACATTGTTTGATCCTATTAGTTGAGTCAACCCTCAATGACACATGTTATAATGTTTGAATTCGCCAATAAGTCATTGGGGATAAGAAATCTTTCTTATCTACGGAATAAGAATAAGGGAAATCGTGATCCTCAGCTTTTCAAATATTAATGTAATTTCCCATTTTGACAATTTGAAGATCCTTCTTAGCATATGCACCAATATCATAAATCTAAAGTTACACTCTACTGAGAATATGAAACTTGCTGACATGAAATTCCTAGCCCCACTTGCACCCAAATGCTATGCTTCAAATACCGTCAACAAGGAAAGGGAGCAAGACTCACATCCCTGTCCCAGATTATTGCAATGCCATCCAAATATGATCACTTAAGCATGAACAAAGTTCATCGCAAGTGTTTTACTAAGGTATCAATTTTCCTTGCTATGATTTTATTATAAATTTGTAACATTATTCCTTCATCAAATGATAACAATAGAAAAATCTCCGTGAAAATCAGTTACTACAGAAATGAGAACCAATAAAAGTTAGATATATACAGTACATTCTATAAAGCACCAATTTGACGCAAATCAGGCCATTAAAACTGTAAAAACTAAACTCTGGCCCAAAACATATAAGTTTCTCGATGCAAATCAAGTTATTTATTATATAAAACACTAAATAACTATTATTTGGACTTAATATTTGCAAGATTTTCCATTTATAATCATAGCAAATAACTTTTTATGGAAATAATACAATAATCACTTAATTTTGTCTCTGAGTTAGCACCACAACCCATCAATATGGAATTCTATATTAAAAGTCTAGTGTATATTCTTTTTCACTGAATCAACATAGAAAACCAATTCATGAAAGAAACAATATTTCTTTATCTTAATTTGATTTTTCCTAAGTTTTTCTGTTATTTTAATATAAAAGAGATAGGAGTAGAAATACATAACCAAAGGGGGGTGGCTAATGTAGAAAACATGAATGACACATTAAAATAAGAAAGCCATCATTTCCAAAAAAAAAATAAGAAAGCCATCAATCTTTTTAAAAGCCAGCCAAAGACAAGAATTTATAATTAAAAATTTCTGGTATTTTGCACCAGCTACAACCACTAAAGCACTCCATATGGTGCAGTTCCACAAGACCTTATCCTTCTAGGAATGGATACTCTCATGTGAGATTTTTACATGACAAGGTCGTGTGAGTATCTATCTCTCTTTTGATAGATTTCACAAAATTTTGATAAAGTCCCACCTGTTTAATGTCTATCAAGAGAGATAGACACAATTTTCATAACATTGTCATGTGAAAATCTCACATGGGAGGATCCATTCCCTTACCCCCTCCTTTCAAAGCCTATGTAATAATAATTGTTGCAGGTCCTTCAAGACATATGGCATCCCACCAGTAACAAAATAATTCTAAACACTCCAACCTACGATATTGATGCCAAAAATAAATAAGCGAATAAATAATGTTTGTAGTTTCAAAGCCTCAATAAAGGAAATAAGCCTTCTTAAAAATTGCTTCGGCACTTTCCCCATAAAACATTTAATTGCTACTTGGGTTAGAAAACTTCCCTCTTCAGTTCTCCATAAGAAAAGCATTCCCCCAATTGGGTAGGTGAAAACTATTTGAACATTATGATTTCATTTTATTTTTTTAAAATTAAGAGCGTCTGTAAGGGGGGAAAACTTTACTTAAGCACTTCACCCCCCCCCCCCCCCCTTCTCCTCTCTCTCAAAATGCAATCCATAAATCCAACGTTTATAAGCAACCCTCTTGATTCAGTCTTTATTTCCACAAAAAGGTGATACAAGTATCTAATGAGGTTAATTGCCTCAATTCATCATAAACATAAAGCAAAACCATAAATAATAAAAAATGATAATGGCAGAAAGGCTCAATGTAAGACACACCTCATGGACACAATGTTCAACTGCTAATCGTGATAGTAAATCCTTGGAAGTAGCAGTGGCAGAATCCCAAAGGCCATCATGAGCCGGTAATGCTCCATAATAAGAACCTAGCTCCTTGAGCCGCGCAGCAAGAAGAGTGAAGTGTCGCCCTTCATCCTGTGCTACCTTCACAAAATCTGTAAAGAATTCTCTAGGCATTGCCTCTTGCTTGCCAAAACGAGCTATTATATCCTGCAAGAATGTATTATATGTGTAAACATTTACCAATAAATATTTGTAGCAGCGCATGAACTATGAAAAAACTAAATGTTTTCCACACAAAAAATAACAAACGCACTGCAAGGAGGGCCAACTAAATTTTAGTTCAATACTCCAATGGTGCTGGGTGTGATCTTAAAACTGAGATCTCAGAGTGTAGCTTACTCAAATTTTAGGGGTTTTTCTTTCTCTTTTTTTATTTTTTTTGGCGTTTACAAAAGTTAAAGCTTCTATGAACACTTGATTCTGACTTGGAGCATAGTTACTATAGAAAAACTATACAAAAACAAGAGTAAAACACACATGCCTTTGCCACTAAAGATGATTTCTATAGAGCCACAAAGCTCAATCACAGGGATAAAGCTAAAAACCCAATGGGATATGAATGATCAAGTCCTTTTTTTAAAAAAGCAATTTTATGATAACTCTCCTGATTTCTGAGACATACTTTTTCCTTTACTTCATATCAATGTGATGATCTTTCATATTGTATTGTATGCATCACATTTGTTCCACATGGTTGTTAGAGGTCACAAAAAATACCCAATGCACACGCAAAAGCATGTGCATTGAGGCTACTCTTCTATGATGAAATTCCACATTAATTATTTCCTTCTACGGTACCGTTGCTTAAAATAGGTGTTAAGCACCAAATGTGTCCAATGCTATCGTGTAGGACATGGTCAATCAAAAAAACTTATTCTACGCCAAAATTCCAATTTTGGGTTTAATTTTTCTTATGTTGTAGCAGATAAAATTATCTCCTACACTACACACACATAAAAGTGTATGGGGTTCATATTTGCTTTTTCTCTCTCTTCTCCTTACATGGCCCATATGAGCCCCACACACTTCTATATATTTGTAGGAGATAATGTTATCTCCTACGACTTGATAAACATTAAACCAATTCCATATTGAACCTTTATATACTTGGCACTCCCATAAAAACAAGAGTTTGGTTGGATTTGGATAGAGAGAAATACAAAAAGAGGTGAATTTTATAATTTTTCAAATCGTGGAATCCCCGTATTCTCTCTATCCTGGTACGAGTCTGTTAATTGATATTAAGGGTGGCAACACATCCATAAACTGAATGCTATAATATGCACATATTTGTAACTTTATGTTATTTAGAGTCAATGGACATATCATATTGCCACATATGTACATGGAATCAGTGCAATTCTGAATATCCGGTAGCAAAACTCTAAAATAAAAGGGTGCCAATGACAAGAAGATACCCAAGACAAGTCAATGGCCCAGCTTTCAGTGTGAGCAAGGCTATGCACAATGGCTATCCTGCTTTGCAAGCTGCCTGCTTTTCCCAGCTTCGGCATGAGACTCGGCGCCACCAACTTCACCTGAAAAACATACATTCATGTCAGTGAGGCATTTCATCAAACACCATTGGGTGTCGGAAACAAGATTGGAGTGTGAGAAAAATGCAGACGTTGGAGAGCCTTGCGGGGCGATCAGGGACGAGAAGTTCGCGAGAAGGGTCGTAGGGTTCAGTGATGGCCCCATGGACCCACCGAGAAGCGACCGAGTCGCCGAGTCGCGCCTTCTCGAACGGGTCGGCGGTGTTCAGAACTCGGAGTGCTGCTTCCACTAAGGTTTCTTCGTCGGGCCCCATCTCTCGTTGCTGGATATCAATTTTGGAACTTCAGTTGTATTTAGGAGTTAGTATTAAGCAAATATTAAGGACAAAAAAAATAAAAAAATTGTACTTTCATTTTGAGCTAGATTTCCCTGACCAAATATTGAAAAAGGGTTCAATTAAATATTTAATACTTGATGTTAAGATTAGGGTTGGCAAAACGGGCTAACCCAGTTCGACCCGGTCCAACCTGCATTCAACCCGTAAAAATCGGGTCGGGTTAGGGTTGGCTCGAAAAAATAAACGAGCCAGAAAATCTAACCCAGCCCAACCCTAGTCGGGTTAGGGTTGGCTCGATATTCAGCTCGCGAGTTGGCTCGAAAAAAAGCTCGCGGGTTGGCTCGAAATGATGCCAGTGAGTTGGCTCGCGGGTTGGCTAGCTCGAAATATTGGCTCGCGGGTTGGCTCAAAAAAATTGATTTTTGTGGAACATAACCAATAAAACATAACCAATAAATTAAGAAATCCCAACATAGCAGTAGACAAACACATTACAAAATAAAAATTGTCCTATGAGTTCCCATGGCCAATACAGACATACAATACAATATCAAAATCTAAACATCCAAAAGTACACCATCATCATTAGATCATCTACAAAGTTTCATGACCATTAGATCCTCGTGAAGAAGCTAATATATGGGAAATATCATCATCATCATCATCATCTACAAAACACAAACCATAAAATGTAAATAATCAATTAAGGTTACAATGACAAATGAAAATGAAATTTTAATTGCATTGAAAATAAATAAATTACCATTGGCAACAAAATCAGCCAACCAATTGCGGGTACATACCAAAGTTTCGACATTCTTTGACAACAACTTATTTCTATATTTGTTAAGCACACGTGATCCAATGCTAAAAGCAGATTCAGATGCCACAGTGGTAATAGGAATGCTTAACAAGTCACGAGCCATTAATGATAGATTCGGAAAACGACAACTATTATCCTTCCACCATTGCAATGCATCAAAACTATTCTAGTTGTCAATAACCAATATAGGCTCCTCTAAATAAACATCAAGTTCAGATTTTCCAGCATTTATTGCAAGGTGTTGATTGTGCAAGAACAATTCCTTTCATATTTGAGAAGTGCAAAAACATAATAATTGAAGTAAGTAAGTACATGCATAAATAAAGGCGAGAAAATGAATATGATATAACATAATTAAAGCTTTTTGCTAAACATGAACTTACATCAAAGATCTTATCATTCCATCCCCTCGTTTCCATTGACCTTTGACTTGAAGAGTGAGTGTTATATTGACTTTGATCAGTGGTAGTTGATGAATTAATGTTTACATAATTATCAAAGAGCTTATACACGTTTGCCTTTATATTTTCCATCTTGTCATCATGTGTGTAAGCATCAATCTTTCTATGACAAAAAGATAATGTAGTAAACTTAATGCGAGGATCAAGAACAGCTCCCAGTGAAAGCACATCACTATACTCTTCCCAATATTTTTGAAACTTATCCATCATCTTATTAGCCATGCTACTTACAACCACATCTTCATCAGTACTCATACGAATGAGAACACGCTGAATTTTTTCAAACTTGTAGAAAATACAAGTTAGAAGTATGATAAGAAGTGCCAGACATCAAATTAGTGATCTCACAAAATGGTTGCAAGAACCGACAAAGAATTTCCAACCTATTCCACTCTTCTTCTGAAGGACAATACTTGTAATTTCTATCACTCAATTGGAGAATTGATAACTCACGCCTGAATTTGAGAGCACGATCAAGCATTTCATAAGTGGAATTCCATCTAGTGGGTACATCTGATATCAATGCAGTTACAGTGTTCTCACCACCAACTTGTTCAATGCACTCCTTAAATTTGATCATTCTTGATTCTGAGCCTTTTATATATTTAACACTCTCTCTAATCCGAGACAAGGCATCATTTACAACTTTTACTCCATCTTGAACAATCAAATTCAATATGTGTGCAGAACAACGCACATGGAAAAATTTCCCATCACATAACAACAATTTTTGCATATTCAATTGGCTTCTCAAACCACCAACCATAGAGTCATTTGCAAATGCATTATCCAAAGTAATGGTAAAAATCTTCTTCTCTATGCCCCATTCCTTTAACAAACCAAGTATTTTATGAGTCAATTCAAATCCAGTATGAGGAGGAGGCATATGACGGAAGGTAATAATTTTACTATTCAGCTTCCAATTTACATCAATGAAATGGGCAGTTAAGCAAACATAACCCTCGGTATTACAAGATGTCCACAAATCTGAAGTTAAGCATATCCTACTTTCAATGCTACCAAACATCTTTTTCAGTTTCATCTTATCTCTCATGTGCACATTTAAAACATCTTGTTTAAGAGTATTTCTAGAAATGTCAGTCCAATCTGGATTCAAGTAATTATGAAAACGCCTAAACTTCCTATACTCAGCAAAGTTAAAGGGCTGGTCATGTTCAATAACAGCTTCAGCATACATCTCACGTGCTACCTTCATATCTATTTTTATAGCCTTCATTTTACCTTGCATGTCTAAAATGACTTGGCCAATATCTTCATGTTTGATTTGTGTGCATTTGTCAATGTGACGGTTTAAAGTAGACGTACCGCAAGTCTTACTGTCCATCTTGTACTCTATCTTGCAACCATTGCATCTTGCCTTTTCATGCCCTTTTTCTCCTTGTATTGTGAAATATTTCCAGCAACGCGCTTGCCTTTTCCTAGGCTTTTTAAAAGCAGGTCCTTCTCCAACTTCTAATTCATCGCTTTCTGCATCAGCATCATTGCCCTCTTCAATGAATGCCAAACTTTCCCTACATCAAAGTTTAATATAAAATTACTATAGCGGAAATGGAAAAGAGAGATTTGAAAAATAGGAAAATATTTACCTATTCGAATCAGATTAGGACAGATCAACACAGGTATTTATAGTTCTTGCATAAATTGCTTCATAACTATAAAGATCAATACAGAAATTTAGTCTTTAAGATTTCATTTACTTGGTATAGTGTTAAATAATCAGGTTTTTCAGCATGAATTAGTATCAATTTGTGTGATTTAATGATGGAAAAAGAGGTTAATATCCTAGAATATCCTCAACTACAAGTTCAAGAAGCTTTATTGAAAATTTGCATTGTTCTTGTAGGAAAATCAAGCTTAAAAGGCAACTGGGAGAAGGAAGAAGATTCTGAAGAAGAGAAAAATTCTAAGTGTTGAGCGCTAAAACATCCATACAAGACGTTTTAGCGCCCTGTTACAGAAAGAAGCCAAAAGATGCTGGTCTGGAGCACTAAAACGTCCATCCAGAATGTTTTAGCGCGCTGCTGCACGTCAAAGCCAAAAATATGCTGGTCTTCAGCGCTAAAACGCCCAAACATAAGGTTTTAACGCTGAAGCCAGTTGAAAACAGTTGAATGGATGTTGAAGATGGCGCTAAAACGTCCAGGAGGGAGCGTTTTAGCGTCCGTGTTAGTTTTGGCAGTGATTCAGTTGCAACTTGTAATTTATATGGGGTTTTTGGCGTCCAGAAGGGAAAATTGTTTTCTGACTACTTGTTTTATTAAATCCCAATTCATATTTTAGTATTATATCAAGTTACTTTCAAATCAATTTTTTGGTGACAAAACATTCATGATTTTTACAAACTCTTGTTTGATTCAGATTAGTTTTCTATGGTTAATTGATGTTTGAATATAAATCTCTGTGGAAACGATCTTTACTCATCATTCTATTACTTGTACGACTAGTACACTTGCTAGATACGCAACGAGTTTTTTAATGGCCTTAATCCATTAGGTGAAGTTTGCACTAGAGGCTCAAATTGCTTTATAGATTGAACTATAAATACCAACAACTTAAAACCTGAGTCAATTAGAAATTTAGAACATGTTGGCAGAGCACCAATACCTTAATAAAAGAATAAAAAAATTCAAATGAACATACAAAATATACTTCTAGAAGGGAGGAATGAAAGAAACAAATGGAAATGGAAGGAAAAATCTGTTTATTGATGATAAAATCAAATGAACATACAAGAGACACTTCTCTTGCCAAATGCCAAGAGGCACTCCCCTTATCAAAATGAGCACTCTAGGCCAATATTCAAAAAAATACCCAGTCTATCACATATAGAGGGCAACACCTCCTTTTAGACAAACAAAACCTTCCTCTAACTAACTTTCTAATGACTAAATATATTCTTTAAGAAGGAATATTCTTTCCCTCCCAATGCAAACTGTATCCAAAGTTCACTAAAAAAAAATGACACGGAATGCATATTTATATATCTTAAAAAGTAATAGCATGACAAGAGTAAAACCAATATAAGAAATTAAAACTGGAACTGTTAGTCCTCCTATTGTATGCAGTATCATAGCATTTATTTCTCATTCTTATATTCATCGCGAAGCTGAGTTAATAGAAGTAGCTATCTTGTAAATATCTTGCTTGGTTTACTGTAAAAAACGAATGCCTTTTCTAGTTAAGATGGAGAGTTAAGATAATGTGGAATTTGACATAAAAAAATTAGTAAGCTACCTCTTTTTTGGTTGGCTGTAAGTATTAAACTCACACTTCAGTAATGAGATGATAAAATTTGTATTCGGTGTTGTATAGCTTATCCTTGATAGATGAATTCAAAAATTATAACATGACTTCAAAAATTATAACCTAAGAAAAATCAACAAGTACCATTATAAATCAAGTAACCAACAACATCGAATCGAATCAGAGAATAAAAATCCAGATCGAAGGGGGGAAATGAATGACCTAAGGAGATGAGAATCAGTGATGTCCTGCAAATCTGGTGACTTCGAGTTGGAGCTGGTGACTTCGAGTTGGAGAGCGAAGATGAAATGGGGGAAATCAGCAAATCTGTTTGACAAAATAATTTAGAAAACAAAACGG